GCCAGAAGAGCTAATCACAGGTGAGTGGGTGCAGCTGCAGAAGGGAGCAGGCAGAGGAAAATAGTTGTGAAGCAGAAGAGAAGAGAAATATTCTGGTAAACAGGTGGGCACATCTCCACTACATTATATAAAACTGAAGACAGTTAAATATGGAAATTAGGTTTTTGTTACAACTGTTGCTATGAAAAAAGAATGTAATTTCCTGTATGACAACAATCCTGCTCCTCGTGTTATTCTGTACCCAGAATGCCTTGCTGTAGGTCTACAGTAAACAGTTTAAAATCTACTGATATCCTGTGTGCTTTCTGACACGTGGGTATCATTATTACCAAAGTTAGCATTTTAGCATGAGCTAAATGCTAAATTGGTATAGTGCTTCACCATTAGCTCAAAACAATGTTTGTGTGGCGCTTTAGCGTTATCTAAATACCATGTTCCTGTCAGCAGAACGAATGTCTATGATTAGTGCTTCAGGGTCAGAGCAGCTGACCTTTAGTTCGCCGTCCCCGGTTCTGTCCTGATAGCTCTCCATCCCAGAATCTTGGTGTGTTGGACTGAAGCAGTGCAGCTGATGAAACGCTCCCAGGTCCTGAGGGCAGTTTGTGCTTCCACTACTCAACTGTGTTATGGCATCTAAAATTGGACAAACTGCTATTTTACAGGTGATGATAATTTCTCGATGCGCATACGAGGCATACTGGAATACTAATGGCGTTTGTCAGAAGTGCTATCCAGAACAAACTGTAAAATCTTATTAATGAGGGAATTTTTTTAATGTCCAGCTGCTGGTAATCCGAAACACATGTTGGGAAATTAATAATTAGACTCTTATCTTGTTCGGCTTGCTGAGAATCAGCTTTTCCAGCCAAAGGTACTTTTCTGTCCCAGAGATCACACCAGCTGTGTCTGATAAGGAGGAGAGATGGATGGAGAAGTTGCGGTTCGGGTTAGATTAGCTGTTCCAGCGGTTAGGGAGCAAGGACAAAAGCAGACTTCATATCCATCCATCACCTCCTCAGAAAGATTTATGCAGAGGTGGAGGGGAATGTGGCGTGCTTACTAAACCTGAGCTTCCTTTGTGTTTATGTGTCCCTTCATCTGAAGGTGGTAATGCTGTTTGATTGGTTCCCTGAGCTCATTTTCACTTCCATTACAAGTCTATCAGAGGAAGGCAGGATCTTGATGAAAGAGCCTCTGTAGACAATTGATCTCAGTAATGATGAAGAGGACGGAAAGGGCCAGACGTGCGTTTCTTTCTCAGGATTCCTGCTCAGGTGCTCACTGGAGTGTGAGCCAGACATGGCTTTGCACTTTGATGGGCTTGTTAGATGTGTTGTGTGATGGATTGCTCTTAGGATACTCTTGAAACCTGCTACCTGTGTGGCGCACAGCACAATGCCAATTATCTTTAAAAAAAACTGTGCATGTTCTCTAAAATGTTTTCTAAACTAATTAAATTTATACTTTGCTGCAACCTTTGCTCAGAACAAACAAGGTGTTGTTGGAAAAAACAGCCGCAGCTAAACGAGGCAGGAATGGGCTCAAAGCAGGGTTTCCCTTAATTAGCCTGTTTTGCATTTCTCCAAGGATTTTTCATCCGCATGCCAAATAAAGCTTAAATTGTATCAGTTTAGAACTGAATGTGCTGGAAGCATAGAAGAGATGAAAAAAGTGTGTTCTCAAACCTCCCCTGGGTTGCGCTAAACCACTTATTTCAGGCTAAACTGGATTATTGACAAAAGACACAAAGCTGGACGGCTTGAGTTTTCATGCATAATGGGGGCTGAAGCTCCAGGCTGGTGGCTGAACTGATGGATATTTAACTGGAGGATGCACAAGATTATTTATTCATGAGAAAATACACGTCGGGATTGTGTTTCCGCTGTAGTTTGTGCCTCATTACACTCCTGGAACAATGCAGGCAGTCTATTTTTTGCTGTCACATTTTATTTTTCTTAGAAAGTCGGAGCGTTTGGTGATTTAAGCCTTGAGCAGCAGCACTGAGGTCACAGCTACAGACTGAAGTGCAATCACAGGGTTGTTTTATGTTTTCACAGAAATGTTCTTTTGCACAAAGAAAACACAATGTTGAAATGCAGAAGAATAATTTAAAGCAAAACGTAACATGTGGATGCAGTCAGGATGGCAGTGATTCTGGGAGGAGTCGGGATGACTTCCCTGTGCATCGATGAGCCAAGTTGGAGTGAGCATGTTCTGGAGGATTCCAGTGGATCACCAGTGGATCCTGAACAGCCAAACACGCTTGATTCAAATAAAAATGCTGGTTATGTCTTCTCTCATGGTTCTCGCCACAGCAGCAGCTGAACAGACCTGCAGAAATGAGTCAGAAACTCAGCAGAGATCAGTCATGTGATTCATGCTTGGTTTCAGTGAAACGTTCTCCAGCCTGGCCGGATTCCCCACAGTGGGGTTTCCTGTAAGCTGCTGTTTGGAGCTGCCAGAGTTCCTGAGATCCAGTTGAAAATTTCAGTAAATCTGAACTGAATGTCGCTGCATCAGAACCTGGAGGTCCAACGCCGACCCATCAGTGTTTTTGGTGAACTCTGATTAGCTTGAGGTCGCGGCGTTCTGCCGATCAGCTGCAGGCTGCAGAGGCTCTCTGGTTTCCAACGAACCGTTTAGATTTCATTTGAAACTTGACGCGGCAGGACATCTGTCTGTTTCTCCAGTTTTATTTTAATTAGGCATCAACAATTCATCCTTCCTGTTTCTAAGATTGTGTTGCTTTACTGTCTGAACAGAAATATGTTTTTTTCTTTTCTTATTTTGTAGCATTCAAATAATATTTGACTACATCTGGAGTTTCCTTGTGAAATTCAGCAAAAATCAGATTTTTCTTTACTGACTTTGAACAAGCAGTTCATTTATTTACTCACTTCTGTTCACATCTTGATTATTAAAATTTTCCACTGAATTCTTAGTGTTTTCTGAGAATAAATCAAAGTGAAATGCTTTTCTGGACTGAAAGTATGACCTTCTGTTGCTAAGCAACAAAACAGCTTCCTGGGTCGTTTTCAGTCCTGACCTTTTTCTGTTTTCCATAAACCGTCATAGATACGATGGGCTCCAGCTCCAGAGATTTATCTTTCCGGCTCAGAAGTTGCATAAAAAGGCGGTTGGTTCAGGCTGTTGGTTCAGGCTGTTGGTTCAGGCAGTTGGTTCAGGTGGTTGGTTCAGGTGGTTGGTTCAGGCTGTTGGTTCAGGCGGTTGGTTCAGGCTGTTGGTTCAGGCGGTTGGTTCAGGCGGTTGGTTCAGGCGGTTGGTTCAGGCTGTTAGTACAGGTGGTTGGTTCAGGCTGTTGGTTCAGGCTGTTGGTTCAGGCTGTTGGTTCAGGCGGTTGGTTCAGGCTGTTGGTTCAGGCGGTTGGTTCAGGTGGTTGGTTGAGGCGGTTGGTTCAGGCAGTTGGTTCAGGCGGTTGGTTCAGGCTGTTGGTTCAGGCGGTTGGTTCAGGCGGTTGGTTCAGGCGTTGGTTCAGGCTGTTGGTTCAGGCTGTTGGTTCAGGCGGTTGGTTCAGGCTGTTGGTTCAGGTGGTTGGTTCAGGCGGTTGGTTCAGGCTGTTGGTTCAGGCGGTTGGTTCAGGCTGTTGGTTCAGGCGGTTGGTTCAGGCTGTTGGTTCAGGCTGTTGGTTCAGGCGGTTGGTTCAGGCTGTTGGTTCAGGCTGTTGGTTCAGTCGGTTGGTTCAGTCGGTTGGTTCAGGCGGTTGGTTCAGGCGGTTGGTTCAGGCGGTTGGTTCAGGCTGTTGGTTCAGGCTGTTGGTTCAGGCTGTTGGTTCAGTCGGTTGGTTCAGTCGGTTGGTTCAGGCGGTTGGTTCAGGTGGTTGGTTCAGGCGGTTGGTTCAGGCTGTTGTCATGGCGACTGCCGGTTGTTTCTGGACTCGTTTTCTTCCAGGCGTCAGATCCCGGCGCCGGCAGCAATCATTAGCAGACAGAAGCTGCATTCAAAGGTTAATGATGCTCCTCTTCTCACACTCAGTTTGTAAATGACAAAGCGATCAATAGTTCATCCCTGAAGCTGTGATGGTTGAAACATCACATCTTTGGGATATTATAATGCAACGATCTTCTAAATGACTAAATATCACAGAACGTGATGTTCTGATCCCTCTGGAGATTTTAATTCCAGCATTCATTATCCTCCAGTTCATCTTTTTATATCCTGTTTCTTTTTTTCTCTTGAGCTCTAAATGTAATACCTGAATGTTATTTTCAGAAAGTTAAAACTACAGAGCAGATTGGAAACTGTATGTTGGACACTTTGGGAAAGTCGCCTGGTCCGAACATCAGCGCAAGCTTGTGCAGAAATGTGTCGGGTCATTTTTCAGCGCTCCGCCAACAAGTTATTGAACAGCCAACACTTTACATATTTCCTCGGTAGTTCCACGCAATGCAGAAAGTGTTGAATATCGACTCTGTTATGATGAATGGAGTTCATACAGCTGTGCTTGTTTTCTTTTGTCTGCAGAGGCCATGAAGTTAAGAGGAAAAATGATGTGTGTAAAGAAAAGATCTGCTGTTCTCTTTTATTTGAAACAATTGGTGGATTGATTCATCATAAATGTTCTGGTTTTAATAAAGACTGAACCATCTGATCTGGACTGGAGCTGAACTGTTTGGACTGTTCAACCAGAGGAGCTTCTCACACACAAACCTCATTTTGACTAAAGTAAAATAAAATAAATGGCATCTCTCATTTCACTGGTGTTTAAAAAATAGAATTAACTGACAGTCACAAACTTAAAAAAACCATTTCATAAATAATTTTGAATCAATACAACTATTGATACAACAATTCAGTCCAACTTTCAGCCATTCTTGTTTTGCAGTTTTCTCTCTTGTCCCAATATTTAACTGCCAAATACAAGAAGAGATCATTCCTAAAACATATTGAAGGAAAATGCAGCTATCTCCACGCTATGCTCTCTGACATGCTTTGTGTTTGTTGCTGTGTGTGACCCGGTTTTGTGTTTTTGTGTCTGGCAGAGGAAGAACCAGCAGCTGCTGCTCAACGTGTCTCTGTTGGCCGTGTGGGGAGTCGTTTTGCTGGCCTGCCGCTTCTCCTGGATGGGCAACAAGCCGCCCAACTTCTCCAACTCAGACAACCCGGCCGCTGACTCGCCTTCGCTCCTCGCCAGAACTCTGACCTTTTTCCACCTGCCTGCCGCCAACTTCTGGCTCCTCCTCTGCCCGGACACGTTGAGTTTTGACTGGTCAATGGATGCCTTGCCTCTGATCAGGAGCCTGGCCGACTGGAGGAACGTCCACACGCTTCTCTTTTACCTGGGATTGCTTCTGCTTGTTTGGTTTGGCCTGTGGATGCACTCAGCAACCAGGACCAAGGAAACCAATGGGAAAAGCCACCATTACATTAACGGCAGGAATGGGAACAGTAATGGACACAGTTACCACGAACACACAAACCATTCTCACACAGACACCAATAATATTTTCACTCAGAACGGAACCAGCAACCTCTCAGAGAACAGGACTTCACTGCCGACCACTGAGAATGTGGTGGCGTTCTCCCTGGGCCTTCTGGCCTTCCCCTTCCTGCCTGCTACAAACCTGTTTTTCTATGTTGGCTTTGTGATAGCAGAGCGAGTGCTGTACATCCCCAGCATGGGCTTCTGCCTGCTTGTCGCTGTGGGGCTGCGGTCGCTGTGTGTACGGCTGCGACGCAGGTCCTGCAGGAGGGTGCTGCTGCTCTGCAGCGGCGCTGTGCTTCTTCTGTTTGGGATGAAAACCGTGGTGAGGAATCAGGACTGGCAGAACGAGGAGATGCTCTACAAGTCAGGGATCTATGTCAATCCTGCTAAAGGTAAGACTGTCCTGACTGCTGAAATGATTACTTAATAATTGTGATTAATGGTTTATTGAAATAACCGTCAACTAATTTGGTAATGAACTGAAGTTTACACACTCTAACAATCTGCTGAAAGAGTAATTAAACTAAAACTGTACAAAAATATATACTTTTTACATTTAAGATGAAAAACCTTTATCTGTGAATATATTCTACTGGCAGTTTCAGCTTCACGCTGTTCAAATTCTGTAAAAAATATATATATTAAGCTTCTTTTGCTATCCAATCATTAACCCAAAATACAGTCAGCAGATTAGTAAACAGTGTTTTTTCAGCTGCAGATTTTTTTTTTTGCTACAAATGATCAAAGAATGTGTTATTGCAATCTATGCAATAAAATCTTTATTTTCTTATTTTAAAGGAATTGAATTAGTTGCTTATTTGCATCTTTGTTGAATTGAAAATCTGTCAAAATCAGATTAATCATCAAAATGATCAATGACTAAAATAGTCTTTGCAGTCCTAATCGTTTAATTGTTTAAACTTAAGTGCATCCACAGTGGAGCAAACATCTCTGCGTCCAACACGTCACGTTTTATTGCCTGAATAACTGCAGGACGTCTTCCAGCTTTCAATGTCTTTTTGTCTCCAGCAGTTTTCTGCAATACTAAATAATTTAAAGTGAATTTGCTTCAAAATGTCTCCTTCACTCTGGATCACCACAGATAGATGGAGACCTTCATGCACAGAGTGAAAGCAGGATAAAATGAATTCTGCATATGGTGTCAGTGCAGCAGTGAGTTAAAACGGAGTTGTCAGTCTTGATGACGTATTTTCTCCTACTTTCCTGCCGTTTTCTGCTCAGAACGCGTCCCTGCCCGTCCCCGTCTGTCACATCCAGCCGGCCATAAAATATTCAAAAGGCTTCAAACTAATCAGACGCAGATTTAAACCCAAAGCTAAGTTTGCGGAGCTGCTGAGCAGTGAAGCAGGCGTGGGCCTCACGGCGCAGCAGAAGGACACGTTGGGTTTGCTAATTTCCCTTTCAGATTCTGCAGCGGAGCTGAGGCATGACAGCTGTTTGCTTTGGCAGGCCAACACGGTAGCAGCAATGTCCCGCCTTTCATTCAACAAAGCTAATATGAGACTTGAAGGGAAACCAACATCAGACACACAAACTGTTTGGATTGCTGGAATCCACACAATCTTCCTTAAATAGAAAAAGTGATGCAGGCTGTGAAGGAAACAGATCAGTCTGGATTTGTTTTAACTTCTCCTTATTGACTAAAATGTTGATTAGATTCTAAAGACCAGGACGGATTTAATGACTGTTTACCATTATATTGTCTCTTTGTGAGATTCATGTTGACATGAAGATCAGTGACAGTTTATCCAGCAGACCAAATATATTCATATCATTCAGAATTTACGTGATATAAAGATCCAAATATTCCATGACAGATTTGACATAATAAATGTAGTAAAAGCTTGTTTGTCATGATTCTATGCTTTATGATTATATTAGCTCTTCTGCTGATTCGCCGACAGCAGAGCTAACTTTTCATTTAGCCTTTCCTCTGACTTTGAAACATTAACAACACTTAGTTTTCTCTAAATGAATTTTTCTTTTGTTTTCACTGAAGCTTCAATACAAACAAAGAAAAACTTGTTTTTTCATCAGAATAATATTCCCGGATTATAAAATTGATCAGCAGAACAAAAACTCGACACCGACAGCAGGTATTCTGTGAAACATTGTGATTTGTTAATAATAACTTTGTGGTGCTCAGGTCTTATTGCCAAATAAAATCAGAGTTCACATAAAGTCCATGTAGTACATGCAGCATTATTGCGTTTTAATCTGCGTTTATTTTACACTGATCAAGGCTCTTTTATAAACTTTTCGACTGTATTCAGTGTAAAAACCGAACCTTGCCTGTCAGTCTCTGCTCCCTGCTGTTAGCTGCAGTTCATTCGGCTCTTCAGCGGCGCTGCGGCGCTCTTCTTTCAGGCTCAGGCTCTGGAAAACAGGGTTTTTCTTACATGGCGCTTCCCTGCAGAGCCATTTGTTGTATGAGATCAGCAGCTGCAGCAGAACTGCATCGTTTTAGACGTTGAACCTGAGATAAGAAACTGCTTAACAAACTTAATATTATTACAAAAGGTCCTTCCTGTTTGTACCAAAGTCATTGAGCATTTAACTAACCTTGTCCTCTGTGACCTGTCAGCTTGGGGCAATCTGGGAAATGTTTTTGAAGAGCCAGGGGAAGATGGATGAGGCTGAGCAGGCCTACAGAAACGCTCTGTATTACCGCAGCAACATGGCCGACATGCTGTATAACCTGTGAGTATGTATTTTCATCCTGGTGTGCTGTTTAGGTTTATTTTCCTCTAGTTCTTGTGGATGTCATTGTTTCTGTAAAGTGGCTGCAGAACCGGAGACAGTGCATTGATCCCAGCTGTTCTGTCTGAGAAATTGCCCTCTTGTCTTCTATTCCCCATCGTGTTGTTGGGCTGACAGGAGTATTAATGATGCCGTTTTAGTCAAAGAGGAAATGTAGAACACCAGGATTCCTTTGATTCCCACTCTTATCAGCTGTTTTTGTCTTGATGTGGAGCTTTAGCTCTGCACGCTGCCTGCGCTGAGCTGCAAACCGTCTCACATGTCGTCCTGCTTTCTCTTTGTCTGCTCCAGTGGTTTGCTGCTGCAGGAAAGCAACAAGTTCTCCGAGGCGCTCCACTACTATAAGCTAGCCATTGGGAGCCGGCCAACGCTGGCTTGTAAGTACAGCTCTTGTCTTTTTATTGACAGCCTCCAGCCTGGTGGTTGTGGCTGTGCCGTGTCCAGGCAACAGTGAACAAAGGCTGTGGTTATGTAAAGGGAAGTAATGGATGGCAAAGGGCAGTGGGTCTACAGCAGAGCTGAACATTCAGGCACAGCTGTGTGACCAGCTCTCTGAGCCCGCGTATGTCAACAGATCAAGCGAATGCATGATGTCATTCACCATGAATTCGGGCCGCGGCGCTCTCTGCTTTCATTCCTCTTCAGCCTTTTTCGGCCTTTTTCAGTTTTCTCACCTTCTGCTCCGTTATTTCATCCTCCCAGTTCCAGGCTGCGGTCAGAGACAGATAAACACAGTCCTGAACGTCTCGTCCTTCCTCCACCGGAGTAATTGAACATCTAATCAAGCTTGTGATAAAACTGGGAAATTCTAATTCAGCAATTATCCAATCTGCAGAAGCTGATAGCAGTTAGTTAATTACTCCAAGCTGCTGACACTTTGAACGCAGAATGTTAATGCGACAGTGTTCTTTCCAAGGTTACACCATCACTCAGTGCCTAATTGTGAGCCAACGAGGACACATTGTTGGGTTTTTATTCAGCCCACATCTTATTCTCTGATGAGGAAAAAAGGTTTTGTTTGGCTGCTTTGTAGGACGGATAAAATGACGTCCTTGTGTCAGGGTTTGCACAGGTGCTTGAAAGCCTTGAAAATACTTGAATTTTTCAAGGTTTAGAAAGAGTTTAACATTCAAACTGCACAGGTTAGTTATGAAGGGAAGTTTAGTTTTGATTGAAAGCTGAAATCTGAACAGTATTAATTACAGTTGAACCAGATATTTTACAGTAAGAAGTTAAATCACACTAAACTTTTCTTATTATTTGTTAGAATCACTAAAATTACTTCCATTGCTAAGAACTTAGCAAGAACATTTTTATTTTATTTTACATAGTTATTGAAATTGGGTGATTTTTTTTTCTGTTAACTTTGTGTTTTGTTCTCAGGTGTTCAGAGTGAGAAATATTCAAAACATAAAATGATATATATTTCTGTTCATCTCATCCCTGTGGTTGAATGTAAATATCTCCACCCAAAATTATTAACAGCAGTGATAAATTACATCATAAAGTGAATTAAAACTTTGTTCCCATTCTGTATTGATTTGTATTTCAATGCTGGAAAAGTATAAAAACTTACCTGGAAAATTCTGGAAAAGTGCTTAAATTTCACTGAAAGTCTGTTTTGTCTTTTTGTTTTTATTCATTCTTCTTCACAAAGGAAAGTTTTTACTGCAGAATCAATGAAAATGTGCAGGATGAGTAAAGAAACAAGATGTTTAACTCCCAACCCGTCTCCTTTTCCTTCATAATGCTGTGGCTGTCTTCAAGAGCCTGGCAGATTGATCCGATGCGTCCAGTTTATTTATTCTAACCACCAGGCTTTCTTTAAAGGGGAAGGTCCTCTGAGACTAATTACTCACCAGCAGGTATTGATCAGAAGATCCCATCTTTGTCAGTTGCACAGAAGTCCAAGTGCCTCCAGATAACTGGGCATAATTCCTGCAAACAAATAGAAAAGATGGAAAATTTCATCCAGATCCTAGAAAAACTCACATTAGAAACGTTTTTGTTTTCACAAACAGGGTTTCAGGAGTTTAACAAAAACTTAAAGTTTCAAACATTCCAGCGTTGATTAGTTCTAATCTGATCCAACTGCAACAAGAAGAATAGAAATTTTTCTGTTTTCCCCAACAGAATAAAACTGCTATAAATCTCAGACTGCGTTTCTCTTGGGTGTAATTATGTGCAGCCTGGATTTAACTAGAGATGATCAAATGCAAAAAGCATACAAACAACTGGATAATCCATCATGAGATATTGTCTTACGAAACAGATCGTTTTTAATATCAATCCCAGAAAATTGTCTGTTTCAAACAGAAATTACCAGGAAAGAGATGGAAAAAAACGTTCATGACTTTATTTTACGGTCTTGATGAAACATCTTCATCAAGGATCCAAACCTTCTGGGTCAGGACACGTTTCTGCTGCCATGAAAGATAAAGCAATAAAACTGGTTGGGCTCAGAGAAACGAATCTGCAGCTGTGAGGACGTAATATGATTATGGAAATCAATAAACAGCCATCACTGAGCTGAGTGCTGTTGGATCGATCTGTTTATGCGGCACCAGTCCACACAAGTCATGTACAAAACGCTCAGGCAGATACATGCAATAATTCAGTTCAGTCTATTTCAGGCCTATAAATGCCATTCAGTTGGTCACAGTCACATTTCTGTTCAGTTATAATGCAGTAAAAAGCATGGAGACCAAGTCCATCAGAACGATAAAACGCCTGAATCCGGGGTTCAGCCTGACCTCACCTGCTGCTTGCTTCCTTTTCAGCCGCCTACTTGAACACGGGCATCATCCTCATGAATCAGGGCCGTCTGGACGAGGCCAAGCGGACCTTCCTGACCTGCGCCGACATCCCCGACGAGAACCTGAAGGACCCCCACGCCCACAAGAGTTCAGTCACCAGCTGCCTGTACAACCTGGGCAAGCTGCTGCATGAGCAGGGGCAGCAGGAGGTACCAGAGCGAAACGCCTTCAGCAACCTGCCAGCAAAACCTGAGTTTCCACTGAGCCTGAAATCACAGTTTGACTATCAGGAAGTGAATTGGCTTCATGGAGACATAATAAAAAAAACTGGTGATATGATCAAAGGTTTTGTTGCAGGTTTTTTGGCCGTATCAGAATTGGTCTGTTTTTGGTTCTGCACTGGAAGCACTTGTTACGGATCAGATGATTAAACCACAAAGTCAACAGGAAGTATTTGGAAGATCACAATATACTTTAAAATGACTTATTGCATATTCACAGAATCCGCAGCTCTAATAAGCTGGATTTACATTTTTTTCAAAATAGTGAGAAATTTCTAGTTCTAAAGTGAAATAAATTAATTCATTCTTCAAATTTTTAATGTAAATTACATATTGATGTTATACTTTGTACAGCAGTGTAGATCAATTTAATGTTTTTATGTTTTGTCCTGATAAATGCGGGAACTGAAGTTCTTTTCATTCCCTTCATGAAGGACGATTTGAAACCTCAGTAAACTGAGATGAAACGCAGGATGCTGCTGACGGGCCTTCAGGGGATCCTGAGGAAAACATTTGCTTTTATACGGACATTTTCTGTCATAAGGGACGTTGTGTTTGCACAGATAATCCTCAGGCTGTTCTGAACAAATTCACTCTATTTCACGCCCCTGGAGACCCAGAGGGCTCGGCTTCAATGGCCGTTTTTCCAATGCTGAACATTTATATTGAGCATAAGCAGTGATGCTGTAGATTTGATCTACAGCATCATCTAAAACTGCCCCCATTTAAACTCGGGGGTCTTCTGAGGTCAATTGGTTGACATGCATCTCATCCACTGTGTCGCCGTCAGTAACTAGCACTGCTCTGGTTGTGCTAACAGCCGTGACGCGCAGGATGGAGGCTTTGTGCTCAGCTCTGTCTGAACCACCCAACCGGAGACCCCCGATTCCACGCTGGGTATTCATGTTGGCCGGACCCGGACGCGCCGGAGCAGTTCCCCAGAGCCAGTTTAATGTTTTTTATTTGGGAGGGTCTATCTGCTTTTTCTTACACAAACATCTCCACCTTCTTTTTCTCATTTCTTTGTTTCTTCACAGGAGGCGATCTCCATGTTTAAAGAAGCGATACAGAAAATGCCAAGACAGTTTGCACCGCAGAGCCTCTACAACATGCTGGGTGAGTGCTGCTTTTGTTTCAGCATCATGACAATAAAACAGTATTACTGTTCCTTTAAACAGTGTGAGAAAGCCCACATTATGGTAATTCACTGTTTGGGTTGATACCGGTGAACCTGCATTAACACTCTGCATCCCTGAGTGCAATGGACAAGCGAAACAGGATATTTAGCAGAATAATGTTGAAATGCTGACACAGTTTCATTGGAGCTAATGCTAAAGTGCTACATTGATAGAGTATATTTGGATCTAATGCTAAACACAATATTAGTTCAGTGGAAACTAATGCTGAATGCTATACTAACATGGTATTTAGCAGAAGCCAAGAAAAAACCCAGAAAAGAAGAAATATTCAGATAGGTCAATAACTGCCTTTCAAAATAAAATCAAAGTTCTCCAATCTCACATTGTGAAATGAGACGTTTGACCTGAACGGGGTTTTCTGACAGAAAGGCCTGTTTTAACAAGGCAGTAATAGATTTTTGTTAACATGTTGAACAGATTTAATCTGCAGCTCTGGTTGTTGGACTGCAGATGTACACCAGCTGTTCTCATTCTTCTGCTCTTGATTTCATTATCTTTCCTCTAATCTTCCCACTTCTTCCTTTCAAACCTTTGCTGTTTAATGTTTACACAGAGAGACAAACAGTTGAAACCTGGGATGTCTGTAATCCAGACCTGGTAATGCCCGGGGCTTGTTTGTGTGTTGGCAGAATACAATATGACAGATCTCTGGAGATTATGTCAAAACGTTGATTAAAGCTCCCGGCACCATTAAGGGGCAACACAGCATTTCAAATGGAGGCACTGGGCCGGAGATCTGTGATTTCTGCTGCTTAGCGCCGCTTCCTCGCTGAACTGATTTGCACATTTGGCTCTGGTGCTCATATCTGTTTCCAGTTTCGCTCACTTTGCTCCTCTCACGCTGTTTGTCAGACGCCAACGAGCAGCAGCTTTCATCAGAGGCAGACCTGGGTGGTAATCTGCACCCTGCTGGTCTCCCTCCAACGCTCTCTGGTGGGCTCAGGAATGCTGCTCACTCTCAGCTCCTTGGACTCAGTGTCACTTCTAATTGCATGTTAGTTTTTGTGCTTATCTCAGACACAGAACCTCTGCCAGGGAGCAGACACATCAATAAAACAGGAGGTCAGAGATAAAAACCTGCAAATAACAGAATCCAGATAAACCTCTCTGTACAGACACTCAGATTAGGTTAAAGTTACAGCAATAATTATTTATTGGAGTAACCGCAGGGCTCCCTTATTGAATCCAAAATGTGGTCAAGGACTCGGGTTGAGTTTCAAAACTTGCATAGTAGAATAGGAAATATGAAAAAGAAATGACAGAATGGAAACCTGAGGTTTCTGAAGAAACCGTTTGTCTCCTATAAATCAGTTTCTCAGCAACCGCATTCATGACAATGTAACATAAATAATGGATCTTCAACCTGATAAAAACAAGGCTGAATAGGCCATATTCTTAATGTCCCAATTCCAACCCGCTGTAAATGTATATGAATTAATGAATCATTTAAATCAGCAGGTTTTTACACACTGCCTTACAGGCTGTATGTAGCTTTATTCAATTCTATTCAGTTTATTTTATTTCTTTACAGCCATTTTAGCAAAGTCAGTTCAATCACACACACTTTCAGTTATTATTAAAATTATCTTAAAAATGTTCTGTCCAAGGAAACTCAGCAGCTCAGAATTCATGACTGACATGCATGTGGCAACAGTGGGAGGAAAAACTTTCCGTTAACAGGAAAAAAACCTGATATCTGATCCGGAACGTTTCAAACAGTTATTCAGGCTTTTATCTAATATCAGAACTTTATGTTTTATATTTCTGTATTTGGACATGGCTGATTCAAACTTCATCACACAAAAACAGAAATGCAACAGAAAAACGCTGCAAATAAAAACTGTTTGAGTCACAAAACGTAGAACCAAACACCTGCAATTAACAAAACAAATGTGACCAAAAATCAGCAAACACAGCTGATGAGAAAAGGTTGCAAACTGCAAAAACAACTACATGGATAAAATGTTGCCAACTCGCTACATAATGAGGAAGTCCTCCAGGCCACTAGGGGAGTCTGGAATCAGTAATATTAGCTAAGTTAAGACGCTCTTCCTTCAGTGAGTTTGCAGCTTTTCATTTTGGCTTTTCATTTTTATGAATTATGGCATTTGTCCTCTTGCTCCTGTTTCCTGTTGCAGAATTCTGTTTGTGGTTGCATCATTTTCCATTTGCTTTTGTTTTGTTAGTTGTATGTTTTGTTTTTATTTTCTGGGATTGCAGTATTTTTTGGTTGCAGTGTTTTTCCGTTGTGCGTTTTGAAGCATCCGGCTCTTGCAGCCCCTTGTTGCCTCTTGCACCTGTTGGCCACCGTTTGAGGACTGTCACCAGAAGAAGAGCAGGAAGCAGTTTGGTGTCTTGGTCTGTGACTCTGTGACCCCTGATCTGACCTTTTGGTTCACAGGTGAAGCCTACATGCGCCTGAACAAGCTGCCTGAAGCCGAGCACTGGTACAGGGAGTCGCTGAGAGCCAAGCCGGACCACATTCCTGCTCACCTCACCTACGGAAAACTCCTGGCCATCACAGTAAGACCATATTTGAAGCATTTTGCACCAACATAAGTAATCTGGATCAAACTCAGCTTACAGGACATTCTCTGTTTTAGTTTTAGCTCATTAGCTCTTATTTCACAGTCATGTTTCTTTGGGAGGTTTTTTCCATCACAATGTTGATACTGGTGGAATGAAGCTGCGATCCTCCAGATCTACTGTCCTGTGATTTTTCCACTTGTTTCTTCTCCAACATGCCAACCTTTCATTCACCCTGCAGAGCTGAATGAAAGGGGATTCACTGCTGCTGCAGCCGAACCGGTTTGGGTTTCACCTCAGCATTGAAACCTTCTTTCAGTGAAAACTCATTCATGTTGTATCTTTGAAGAAACAGAAAGCCAACTTCCTAAAACATAGTGAAAAATAAAAAGGTAGTCTCTTGGCTTCTTTCTGCATCTCAATGAGAGGAAAAGTTTCCAAAGATTTTACTTTTATTGAGTCTCTCACTGTCTGGCCCTAAAGACGTGAATCAAGACTTTGTTTCTGTTCCTACTGAAAACTTCCAACCTGAACAGAAGATGAAATTTTCTCCTTCTTACTTATTATGCTGCTTCTTAGAAGCAGCCTGTAGGGAAGGAGGATGAAAATAAAATAAAATCAGTTTTCAGTATTGATCACTGATCAGCTATCAAGTGTTTGATTGGTGCATCTCCAGCTTTCTCCTTATTATTATTTCTTGTCCTTCCTCACTTATCAGTCTTGGAATCTTGCAGGAAATATTTGTTCAATAACCAAAACCAATTTTTTCTCTGAAAAACCTAAAGTAAATCTCAATGCTGGTTTCTCTGCTGTTAAATTAAGAGGAAAAGTTAAGCTCTGTTTGTAATTAACTTTAACCTCTAGATCCATATTCATCGCACTGTGGGGTCGGCTGATACATCCATGCAGAAACTGAGGAGTAAAACCTCATGCTGGTCGTTCAGAGGTTCTGTTCATTTCAACAGATCCAGAAAAGCAAAGCAAAACCAACAATTCCATTTACATTTACATCATTGTAATAGCAAAAGAAAAAAGTTTTAATCTGAATATAAACCCTTTTGTTGCTTAAATAACCTGCATAATGAGTTTAAATTGGGTTTTGAGCATCAGGCTGGATGAGTTTTCTGTTTCTAACAGAGGAGCCAGCATTCGCTGTGTGAGCTGCTTTGAGGTGAGAACAGAGTTCAGATCTTCAGGACGATCATCTGAACCGTGTCTGGATGCCGCTGCTGCTCCTGCCTGCATGCAGCTCCTGCCTGCATGCAGCTCCTGATTGCATGCAGCTCCTGCCTGCATGCAGCTCCTGATTGCGGCCTGTAGCTGCCGCGTCGCATGTCAGCAGTGTTTAAAATGATCAAACGCAGAGCAGGAAGTGGTCCGACCTGCAGCTCTCAGGCTTTGCTCCCTGTGGAACAACTCTTCATGATGAAGACACTTCAGATGCTGGCCGGGTTTCAGGTTCACTGCCCCACAAGCTGCAGGGAGGCTGCAGGATGACGCTCTGCTGCAGGGTCACACAGAGGTCACACAGGGGTCACAAAGAGGTCACACAGGGGTCACACAGGAGTCACACAGGGGTCGGGTGAGGATGGTGGCACTGAGCTGGTCGCTGACATCTGAAGCGATGAAGAAGTTAATTATGAAGAGCAGTTCTGGGTTTCAGGTCATGACGGCGGCGCCTGCTGGGATGCATGTTGTCATTTTTCCGTCATTTTCCGTCACTTCCTCTGCGAAGACGAAGCAGACATCAGAGTCGGAGCTGCAGCTGCAGCTCGTCTGCAGTCAGGGATGTGAGGTGTGAGGAGTCTGCAGTGAACTTGGCTTGTCTGGAGCCAGAGGAAGAGCGCACACAGCTGCTTTTCTCATTCGTCTTTTCAACCCCCTCTTGGCTTCATTATGCTTTCGATTTTCTCTCACAACAAGAGGAACAGAAGCTAACAGCGGACTCATCTCGGAACATTTATTTGCAAAAGTTTCTCTGCGTTTTCTACCTCTGAGGACGTTGTTCTGTTTTTCTAAGCCTGTTCTCATTCATGCTTTTGGGCCTTAAAGGCACCCATCCCTCCATCCAGACCAGAACAAAAATGCACAGATGTGATACTGCTCAGTCGTGAACTTTGACCCAGACTCGTATGCCACCAGTTCAGCCTCCTCTGGTAAACATGTAGCTGATTTTCAGATTTTTACAGCAAAAGATGTAGTTTTTAAATGGAGCGTAACTCACTGTATGAAACTTTGAATTTGATTAATTGCAGGATCTGTAATTAAAAGCTATCGACAAATTAAGCAGCATTTTCTTAATGGTGAACCAGAAACAGATGAAAGCAAAGTTTCCAATGGAGACTTGAACCAGCATGAACTCATTTTCCATCCACACAGTCAAATTATGGAAACATGATTCATGAACTCAAGTGTTCAAAGTGTATCTTGTCCTAAAGTTCATAGGTATGTTTGTTTTATTAATGCATTCTCATTGGTTGATTTCTGCACATGTAACTTCACTCACAGCCAGAACTCAGTGTTGCAGTCTGTTCAGTCCGCCTTAATCCAACTCCAGTCTGCCTTGATTCAACTCCAGTCTGCCTTAAACCAACTCCAGTCTGCCTTGATTCAACTCCAGTCCGCCTTAAACCAACTCCAGTCCGCCTTAAACCAACTCCAGTCCACCTTAAACCAACTCCAGTCTGCCTTAAACCAACTCCAGTCTGCCTTAAACCAACTCCAGTCCGCCTTAAACCAACTCCAGTCCGCCTTAAACCAACTCCAGTCCGCCTTAAACCAACTCCAGTCCGCCTTAAACCAACTCCAGTCCGCCTTAAACCAGTCTGCCCTCCTGCCTTAATCAGGCCAGGAGGGCAACAGGTTGGTTTGACTCTGAGCAGAGTGAAAGGGAACCACAGCAGCTGGATGGAGCACATGCTGCTGTTTTTGTCTCTAGTTGAATTGAGTCTACTGGGCTTTCAGGTGTTAAACATCCTCAGATTTTCTGCCTGCTCTGGTCAGGCTGAGCTGTGATTGGTTCCTTGTTCCAGCCTGCAGAGAGTAAAGGAGCTCTGTGCATCTGAAGAGTTTCAAACCGGCTGTTCCAACCCGGCCAGCCTCCTGTATCGATTCTCTCGTCTCTCTGAAGGCCGGAGTAACCGTTCCATTGAATAAAACTTATAAATATGCGACTCTGCAAGTCCCTGCAGACCCATAAGGTTCTCTGTGGCTGCGCTCACACACTTTCCACACACTGTCCTGTTTCATCAGGCACACACACATGCTGGCCTCCGGTGCTTCTGCTCTGGAAGTGTTTCTCGCTCAGATTAAAGCGGATATGAAGGAGCCTTCTCTGGGCCAAACATGACACCGTGCACTTTTGACGGATGACACGTGAGGAGGAGAGAATAACACTTGTGGTTCCCATGTTTCATGTCCGTTTATTGGGATTTATTGTTGCAGCAGTCTGTGGTTGAGGTGGGGGCATTCGGTTCATGCAGAGGTATCTGGGCTGCAGAGCAGACCTTGGTGTTTTCATAATGAGCAGCTTTGAGAAGTGGGTGCAGAAATAATGACGCTGTTTCTAATCCTTCTCTCTCAGGGGCAGAAAACAGAAGCTGAGCGCTACTTCCTGAAGGCCATCCAGCTGGATCCCGCTAAGGGCAACTGCTACATGCATTACGGTGAAATTTCTGTTTTTATTTTAAATTGACACATCCTGACTTCTCATTCAGTTATTTGATTTGGCTTTTAAGACGTTCTGGACAAAGGCAGGAATTTATACATTTTGGACGCCTGCTTGGACAAGTGTTTGTTGACCCTTTTGTCACGTCTTCCTCCAAACATCAAGAATCTCTTTCTGTGTGGTTCGAGAGCTTTATGAGGACTGAGGATGATTTCCTCTCATTGTTCACTTCGGTTTGATGCGGACTTGGAACGTGACGATTTCAGCGTCTCTCTTGTCTTCCATCATTTTCAAATCTCTTAAAAACATTCAATTTGATTATCAAATTAATTAAATCATATTTTTCTCTAAAGATGTCAGCGGACTGCCATTGCAAGAGGCTTTTATTACAAAATATAAGTAAATTATATGAATGAAGATGTTATAGGACAGGGATTTTCAAACTGAAGACTCTAGTGGACCTCAGAAAGCTGCAGGGAAGATCAGAAAAAGATATAAAAAGTTCAATAAATAAATAAAAGTTATTTTTTACCGATGCTGGTGAAATGATCCCATCAGAGAAACTTTCACCAAACATCCACTGATCTATCAGTTCAGATAATCTGCACTGACCAGACAGGGATGGTTTGTAAAGATCCTATCTGGTGTTTCAGCCTGAGCCAAAGGAAACGGCGTTGCACCGCGTCCCTCTTCAGGACGATCTGCTCCTGTTTTAACACGACTGCTGTTTTCTCCTGCAGGTCAGTTTTTACTGGAAGAGTCTCGGCTCCTGGAAGCAGCGGAGATGGCGAAGACGGCCGCCCGCCTCGACGGTGGGGAGTTTGATGTGGTGTTCAGCGCCGCTCACATGCTCAGGTAAGGCCTTCAACACAGACCTCTCTGTCTTATTTTTAGTTTCCGCAGTCTAGGTGCACGCAGATGCTGCACGGTATTTCAGAACGGTTTTCCTTGGCTGGGCTGAAAGCAGTGGGTCTGCACGCTTTATCTGCCTGCTTGATTTTCTTGGCTGGAGGTTGTAATCCCTCTCTCTCTGAACGGTGGAAGAATCCAGAACTGAAGCTTTAACTCATCGCAGCGAGAGATGTTCAAACTTCAGCTGTCTCTGGATCTGAGTCTCGCTTGGAAGTGTGTTTGTTTGATGAGGCTGAGCAGAAAAGCCAGAGAGTCGGTGAACATGAGTCATGATTGGAAAAAGTGTTGATGCTGAATACAACTTCAACCAGCGGCGACGTCTTAGTTAAAACTTCTCATACATCATCGTTGGGATTTTGCAGGATCTGCACCGCGAACAGACTTCAGCGTAAAGACCTCTGGAAGAGTTTCTCAGGCAATGCTTGGGTTGAACTCATCTCCGTCTGCTTGGCATGGGGTCCTGCTCCTCTGCAGCTCAGCCTCTTTATGTGTTTGTGTTGGACACGGCCGTGGAAAGACTACTTGATGCAGACAGAAGTGAATCTGTGCAGGAGAAGAGAAGAGATCACAAGGAGAAGCAGACACTTACCAGTGTGTAAATGTTGTTTATGGCTCTCTGGGGGTTTTGGGTCGTCAGCATTTGGATTCTCAACTAATAATTCCCGCTTGCCTACTTTAGCGCATTGCTGAAAATGTGACTGCAGTAATGCCAGGAAAAATGCTTTAATTTTTAAGGTTTTTGCCATTTTTCCCAAGTTATGACAAATATTCAAAACCATTTCATGGTTAGCATTTGGGTCAAGCCAAATATTACAAAGCAGTTCTCTTTTTAATTCAGAATAAAACAAAAACTTTTTCTTTTTGTTAGCATGTAGCTCTTCTTTGAGGCAGTTTTTCTCTCAGGTGGTTGAATCAGCTGTTCTCTACGTCAAACCTCCACTTCCTGTAAATCTTGAGCTGGTCTTTGGAAATCCAAACAAAGCTGCTTCAAAATAAGAGTCTGACTGTGAGTTGACAGTCGGTGACCAAAAGTTCAACACAGGTGTCAAAATCTATTGAACAGAAAGTTTACAAAACAGCCAAATATTTGAGAATTTATCTGAATTTATCTGAAGACATTCATATAGGAGAAGCTGAGTGCGCTAAGAGTTTTACAATTAGCAAAAATGTGCTAAATGAATAATTAACTGTGATTTTAGCACATTAGTGGATTACCAGAAATTTTCCCAGCACTATTAATTTCCATGTTCAAAGTGAAGACATTAAATTAAAACCACAAGAAAGCTGATTGGTTATGAACTGCCAGGATTTAAGGAGTCTGACTCTGACCTGAATCCTCACTGATTGGCTGTCAGACGTCCTAAATGAAGCTGTGGATCCAGACGGCCGCCAGCGTTGATCCAGGTGATATCAGGCGCTGCTCGCTCAGCCGTCCAGCCGCTGTCCTTGACTTGGTCAGAGGGAAATTATTTGCTGCCATTCGGGAAAAACCTGCAGCTGTGGAGGCTGGATCTGGTTCTGAGAGAGCAGAGCATTAGTGTTGCTGCTGTTTGAGACTTTAAATAAAACACATTATTTATGTCTGGACTGCAGATCTCATCTCAGGTGTCGCATTTTTAGGTAAAGCGACTTTTCCTCAAATCCTGTTTGTCACAGTGAAATGAGACGTTTCATTTGTATCCGTATCATTTATTTGTTTTAATCTCATGACAAGATAATCATATTTTTTTTGTCAATATGTTTGAATATATGGAACTGCAACACAAACCGACTACTTATGACTCAGATTGTGTTTATTTGTAGCCACCAGCTGCTTCCACCATCATAGCTAAACATTTCCCTGTTAAAATACCTTTTTATTGATCTGATGTGATAGTAAAATCTTTGAAAACTCTGAATTTGAGATTTTTTATCCAAATGAACTGAAATATGCTGGAAATCCATCATAATATGCTTTTATGTCTTTGAAGTGAATTTCTCTGAAATATCATCCAGTGAACCAAACATCCCAAATCCACTAGAGGTGAATGATTGGACTGGACTAAAACTCCTCAAGTAATAAACCCTCAAGCCATAATAAGTAAATCTGATTTCCATCCTCAAACAGAGTCGAGTGATTTGCAGGTTTCAGCAGAAAGCAGAAAGTTCTCGTAGCGTTTCTTCATGCAGTTCATCCATGTTATTTTCTCAGTGACCCCTGGGAACCAGTAAACACTCCGGGTTCAAGGCCTGGGCCAAAGCCAGCAGCAATAAAAGTGACTAACGATCGCCTCTCCCTGTTTCTCCCTCTTCAGACAAGCCAAGCTCAACGAAGCAGCCGAGAAGTATTACGGACAAGCAGCGAGCCTGAGACCCAACGTGAGTACAACCTTGACTCGCTATTCCTCCTCATTACCTTTTACTGTGATGGACGCGCTGCAATTACGGTCAGACTGACTTTCCAATTTCATTACTGGCCGTTCTGCCCCTAACAACAGGATTCATTGTCAGTCCTGCTCAGAATAATGAGTTCTTGGGTTTTCCTGAGCTCAGAGGTTTGCTTGTGCAACATCCATCAACAAGTTCAAAGGAGGAGCCGTGGTAAGCGGATTGGGAAGAATAATGATATGAACACCGAGCCGGAGGACGGGGATCCTGAAGCGAGTCCTGACGGGACAGGTCCGCTTGTTTGGGGGGGGGGTCATCCTGTTTGTTCCCCGGCGCTGATTGGAAACAGACAGCTGTGGATTAATGACCAAATACATCTTTGCATTGTTTTACAGAAATCATAGTTTGGCCTTTTCTGCACACAAACCCGAATAAAATATGAAGAAATGCTGTCAAACAAGAGCAGGCAGGACTTCTCAGAGGTCATGAGGTTCAGATCTGAGTAGGTTTGGTGGTAAAAAGGTGAAGTCAAATTTCTCTCCAAACATCTAATTAAAACCCAGAGAGCAAACGAGAGAAATCTGCCTCATCCTGAACCTGCAAGAATTCAGCTGCAAAACTTTTACAATGTTTTGATGTTTATGGAAAAAAACTATAAAGCATCAGGATCCCAACGTGAGGATGTGACATCCTGTTGTGTCTGTAGATGCAATTATGAATAAAAGAAAACTAGGAAAGCTCCTAAAACTTGCATTTATCAGATGCCATTAGTAATTTTCAGCAAAAGTCAATAAGAACAACTGGAAGGTCCAAAGATCCTCATGTGGCTCAAAAGCTGCAGGGGGAAGTTTGGTCAGTAAAATGTCAGTAATAATGACTGAGAATCCAAAATAGGCAGATCTTTTCTAAAAATAAAGATTTAGAAGGATTCAACCCGTATGGAAAAAAATTGTTTATTAGTTTGAAACTGGAAAATGGAGGAGATTTCCTGTTTGACGTAGTTTATAGAGAATCCAGAGAATTCCCTTGATGCAGAGGATCGGAGCAGAACAGGATCTCCAGGCTGTTAAAAACAGACGCGGTTCTGTTGTGAAAGTCGCTGCATGAGTCAGGAACGTTTCAGTTCTCCATATCAAAACAAGATGCGGTTATGGCTCCGCCTACTGCTGGCTCAGCCTCAGCTCCAGAAGTGGAAACAGACTGTTGATCTGCAAAACAACAGGATCTGTGATTTTTAATCATGTCATTGATTATTTATTCAGTTTGTTGTCACCCAACACATGAAGTATCCATGATGGTTTAAAGTTTTGTTAACTGAGTGAAAAACAGGCAACTGGCAGGATTCGCCGCATTATGAGATGATTATGAAAATGTTTATGTGGCTCTCAGAAACACAAACTGAGAAGAGAAGGTGAATCACTCTCTGAACAACATGATGCGATTTTCACCATTTGGTTCTTATTTCCTATCAACGAGTCGACTTCAGCTCTTTGGATGTGAGAAGCTTCAGTAATTAGTTTTCCTAATTGTGATCAGAGCTAACAACATCAACTAGAGCTAACACTTATAGCTAGTGCTAACACCATCAACTAGAGCTAACACTTATAGCTAGTGCTAACACCATCAACTAGAGCTAACACTTATAGCTAGTGCTAACACCATCAACTAGAGCTAACACTTATAGCTAGTGCTAACACCATCAACTAGAGCTAACACTTATAGCTAGTGCTAACACCATCAACTAGAGCTAACACTTATAGCTAGTGCTAACACCATCAACTAGTGATAACACCATCAACTAGAGCTAACACTTATAGCTAGTGCTAACACCATCAACTAGAGCTAACACTTATAGCTAGAGCTAACACCTATAGCTAGAGCTAACACCATCAACTAGAGCTAACACTTATAGCTAGTGCTAACACCATCAACTAGAGCTAACACTTATAGCTAGAGCTAACACCTGTAGCTAGTGCTAACACCTATAGCTAGTGCTAAAACTTATAGCTAGAGCTAACACCATCAACTAGAGCTAACACTTATAGCTAGAGCTAACACCATCAACTAGAGCTAACACTTATAGCTAGAGCTAACACCATTAGCAGTAGCAAATGCTAAAACAAATGAGAAGATAATGAATGGATGCTTAAAGTGAGTCTTTGTAACAAACCATTGTAATATATTTGATCAAATGTTTTGATCCTATCTTTAAGCATTGTTACCATAACCGGCGTTATGCAGCATCCTGTGTTTTATTTCAAGTAATAAAAACTAAACATCCTGTTGAATGTGTCTCAGATTAAGATGGTTGTTGAACTGACAGTGAATCCCTTTGTAGTCGTGACAATTTTGCTAATTGTGATCAAATGATGAAATCTGAACTGTCAGATGTGGGAAGGTGTTACCAAACTTTTTTATTACGGCTTCACATCTTCCTACACAACTGCAGCAGAAGGAAGATCCATGGAATAATTCACTCAGCTCTTAATCAGCGCAGCTGCTTTGCATTAATCATGTTGCATATGCGCGCTGTCAGGCTGAGAGAACCATTCCCAACCAAGTCCTTCAGCAGGAGATAAATCCAGTCTGATTCTCGGTCAGAACCATCTGGTCTCTGCAACCTGCAGCCTTTTTCCCTCTTATGCCTTCAAATTCTTTCTAAAGTCATGAAGGTCAAGTGTCTCCTCAGTCAGTTTGCCATGTGCTCGGCCGTGCTCTCCTGCTCTGTGCCCTGACAGGCTGCAGTACAGGAGGAAATGAGGGGATGAAGAGAAATAAAGGCTTTTGAAAACAGCAACATTCTGCAGATTCTGGAGGAGCCAGAAATAAAGGATATGAGTAAAAAAAAAAAAATGTCTCAGATATGTGAAGAAAGGCAGAAGATTGTTGTAGACATGAAGGATTTATAGAATTCAAATTAACTTGGTTTTGCAAATATTTTAAAATCTTTTTCCTCAAATATTGTTTATTTTGTTTATCGTTTTAAAGATTCGAACACAAGTAGATTTTACTTGTTATGCTTCTCTTTAAACTTCTATCTTTATTTAATTCACAGTCAATGTGAATCTTCGCTGTTTCTCTGTTTCAGACTTCAGATTTGAGGTTTTAAACAAGAAAATGAAAACATTTTGAATTGAGTTCAATATAAGAAGATAAGCATTTGTATTTGTTCAGTGATCCTTTTCTTCTCAGCCTGAAGCGAGACTTTAACTTACGCCTGGCCGTATTGAGGCCAGGCAGGTTATTATTTTACCATTTTGTTGTCCAGTCAGGGCTTTTGACTCTCCACATGCACCCAGATTTATGATTAATGCGCCATTTAAACCCATTCAGCTCACAAACTCACGATAAAATGCGACTGCACTTTGAATCTATTAAAGTTATAGTTGTATAATAAACACCCAATTGTCACCTGGAGATGTTGGATGCAGTGCTTGTGTGAGGTCTGTTCATTACTAAATCATGTCCATGTGTATAAACAATCCAACTCAAAGCATTATTTTGTGGTGCAGCCCTAAAGCGGTGAGGTCAAGCTGAAGGTAATTTATTTCTCAAACAGCCTCAGAATCAGAGCAGCCGTTCCGTCGCAAAACTGCAGCTGCTTCTGCAGCGCCAAGGAGCGGCAGGAGATTCAGGATCCTGCAGGAACGGCAGGAGATTCAAGATCCTGCAGGAACGGCAGGAGATTCAGGATCCTGCAGGAACGGCAGGAGATTCAGGATCCTGCAGGAACGGCCTGATGTGAGATCGCTCACATCAGGCCACAGGGAAACCTGTAACAACAAAGTTTATCTTATTTGTTAGTTTGATTCTGAACTAGGAAAAGAGAATATATTATTCCTTTTAATTTTCCAATCATAAAGTCTCCCCTCATCTCAGTTTTGTTCATTTCTGAGAGGTGGAAATGTCATAACCTAAATTTGACATATTTCTGATTATTTTGCAAATTATTCCACTCATCCATGCAGACGAGGGTGTTGTGTATTTTCCTGGTACATTGTGACATTTTATAATACAATGTAACTATAACTGTTTCCATCAACAATTTTTTACTTTGAAGTATCGCGGGAGGAAAGATTGATGGAAATAGTAAAATTTGTGAAAACTTGAGAGAGATTTAAAGATTCCTCAGACATGCATGACCAAATCAAAGCAACACTGCAGGTAGTTTGTTGATGAGGGAATGAAGTTTAACATGATGTAAGGCTTTAAAAAGTTGGTTTACATCATTCTGACCCTTTTCTCATATTCTGTTACAATGACAATCTGTGTTTGAGTTTTTTCCCGATGATCTAAACAAAACATTCATCATTGTGACACGGAGAGGAAACTTGTTTGGTTTTAGGATTTTTTTTACCAAGAAAATTCTGAAAAGTGTGGCATGTATTTATATTTACCCCTCGGAGTCCTTTATGACACATGCTTTGCTGCTGCTGTGTGTTTAGAGTTAAAGGTTTTCGTTTTTTTCTGCTACCTGAGCTGTAGCTCTCTGCAGCTCCTCCAGAGCTATCAGGATTCTCTGCTGTTTTTCTGGTTGTCGCTTCCTGTCAGTCCAGGTGGACGTCCATGTCCAGGTAGATCTGCATGTCTCCTCTGATGCTTGTTCTCTGACACCAGAACCAGAACAGCTGCACTCATTCAGAGATGAAATGAACCTCAGCAGATTAAAGAGCCGCCTCAGGATAGCTGCTCAATAATGACATAGAAAACATAGATTTCAAGGAACAAAATGATTTTTCTTCTATGAAATGCAGAAATGCTGATAAACTCAGCAGCAGACATGGAGTTTCTCTGCTGGATGAGGCATTTTTTCCACATCTCTAACCAAAATGGTGATCAGATGTTGCCCCTCCCTTGGCCTACATACTTCTTGGTCTTGACATGATTGCACCCGAGGCACTTTTCCTGTACTTATATCTCCATGATTAATCCGTCACACTGATTATGACTTTGCCCATTGGCACCAGCAGAAATAAACATCTCGAGCCACTTCAAAGCGGCGGCTGCTCCCTCTGACATCAATGGCCGCAGACCAGACGCAGGGACAGGCGGGGAGTCGCTCTCTCCAAACTGTTTGGCCCATCTGAAACGGGGCGCTCGTATCGCCCAGGCTCTGCTGTGATGACTCCACTACGACTAAAGAGCGTATCATGTAACACTTTGAATCGTCTTCAGGATCAGATGGTTGTAACAGAAGCTAAGATGACTGTGACAAAATTCTGCGTTTGTGTTTTTTGGAGTTTTACTCCCTGCATGTCGTCACTCAGAGAAAAGACGAATAACCACAAATCATTCCCCTGCTAAAATTCAGTATGAGCACAATGGCCATTATCCATCTGCATTGATGTGGTGAAATGTGAATTTCTATCATCATCAATGTCTCCAGTCTCATCAGAAGCTCCATTATGTGCTTTTTAGCTGATCGGATCGATTCGTTTTCAGAATCCAGTCTTCTTTGGCAGAACTCAGTCAGGATCCAACATACTGAGTTAGTAATTAGAAAATCTTCCAAACGCTCAAATTTTTCAGGATTTTTCTACTCCTCTCTTAAAGGGACCCCACACAATTTCTGTCAAATTAAGTTTTTGACTTTTGTTTCCAGTGTCGGACACACAATCTACTGATCCACTGATCTGCTAATTTATTGTTTAATGCTTTTGTGTTTTTGAAGCAGACTTGGATCATCTTAAGTAAATGTTTCAGGAAATTCTAGTTTGCTAATTTACTCAAGAGTTTGCTTATCTTATAGTTGAATAAAGTTTGACATCTGTGATAAAGTTTTAGTTGTTGACTATTAGAGGTGAACATTTATGCAGAATTTGTGTTTTGCATAAATGTGTTTTGCACATTTCTGGACAATTTAGGTCTCAACTGCTTCTCAAAACAAGCAAAGCATTGTTGTTGCTTGTGCTGGAGACTCCACTTCTACTTTTCAAAGATGTATGTTTATGTAATTGCACATCTGTTTGCAGCCATTTTTAAGTACAAATGTAAACAATGAGTTGGGGGGCGTGGCAACAGCAGCTTATTTGAATTTAAAGCGACAGAGGCGCTAAAACTCACTCTGTTGTTTCAGGCAGACTGAAATCTCATCATCTAAGTTTTTTCTGCACGTTTTGTATAGTCCATAGATTTGTCCTAACCTGTTCAAGGCAGCATTGCAGAAAACTTCAAGTGGTTAGTAGCTGCTGTATCATTGAGCTAAATATGTCAGTGATAGCTGATCGGATCCTAAATGGTCCTTTATGTTTGCTTCAGTATCCTGCAGCTCTGATGAACCTCGGAGCGATTCTCCACCTCAACGGGAAACTGCAAGAAGCCGAAGCCAATTACCTCCGGGCTCTTCAGCTGAAACCAGATGACACCATCACCCAGTCCAATCTGCGTAAGCTTTGGAACATCATGGAGAAGCAGGGCCTGAGGACCACGAGTCCCTGAGATCTCCCCCCCGCCTGCACACCATCTGCGCTCCAGACCCGAGGAGACGGGCGGCCTGCGTGTCCTCGTTCTGTTTTCTCATCCAGGAGCGAAGGAAGAGACCGAGGGAGGACGTTTGGAGAGACACATTGTGCCGCACAGCCCCCCCACTAATCACCTCTGAGCTCTGCAAACACCTCAGGCCTGCAGCTTTGCTCAGGATTGCTTACAGTCAGGAAGGCCCTGCACGGTATCTGGATTCCTTTCTGCAGATTTTGTTTTTTTTATTCAAGAATATTTCAAATTAAAGTGAAGCCACAGGTTCATCGCTGCCGCAGAATGAGGTATGAAGAACACAGAGGGGAGCACTGAAGGACTTTCTGACACATTTTAGATTCACTTTGTGCTTTTTTCTTGAAAATGAAGGAAAGAAGATACAAATGAAGACCTGGACACAATTTAACTTCTTAAAATTTAATTTATAGTCTGCTTTTAAACTTTCTCATTTGGTCACTTTAATTTGAAATTGCACCACATATTGATTCCTAAAGTAGCAACTGTCCTGATATTCAGAGAAAACATAAAAAGGGAACTCAGAGTAACTATTTCAGCACAATAAGAGTCTCTAAGGCCTCCAAAGGCCTGCAGTTAATCTGACTAATCTGTTTTAGCAAGCTTTGAAATCGTCTTCATTGTTTGGTATTTTTATTCTTCACTTCTAAATATTAAACTACCATCACCATTAAAAGCTGAAAGCTTCAGGTTGCAGAGGGAAAACCTTCCCAGGTACCAGGAAGCTGGAACCACAGAGTCCGAGCAGCCAAAAGGAAAATGCTAAGCTAGTGTCCAACTTTCATCCTTACATGGATCAACACAGTCAGCTCGTTGAAAGGGAAATGTTTAAATGCCTTTATGCTTAGGTAAAGTTATGTCAATGTGTTTGAATAAATATTAATATATAGCTGCCATGTTTTAGTACACAGAGCAACACAGCAAACTGTAGCTCCATAACTCAGTGAGTTTGTCTGGTTATGATTCGGTAAAAGGTTTTTTATCCTTATGGCTGTTCTTAGGTCTCATCTGTATATATTTTGTCTAGTTTTCATATATTTGGTTGTTTTTGTCAGTTTTTAGTAAAAGAGCACCTTCATTAAAGTATGTACAGTATTTGTTATAATGTGTTGGCCCCAGTAATATTCATAGAGTTATTGCTCTGTTACCTGTGATTAGTGATATTAGAACCAGTGGTGGGTTCGCTTGTTAGGAGCAAAGCTCATTTTTAGTTGAGCGTTTTAGCATTTTTGCTAAAACACTTTGAAGTCACGACGTTTCCCCTAAATGAATATTTTCAGAAACATTCTGAAGCACTAATTTAGTCGCCTGGTTTTGAAACTTTCAGTTAAATAAAGTTCATCGTCTGAGTTGAACTTTTTATTATCGACTGTCAAAAATTCTTCAAGTAGTCAGACATTCCTCTTCTTGCTCTTATTTTGAAGACTGTTCCACTTCCTGTCCTCAATAATTTTTCTCAAAACACTAAAATATAAAATTCAGAGCAGTAATTAATATACATTTAACCAGGTGAATAGAATCTACTGACGATTATTTACTTAATTGTCTTAAATAAGTTTCCAGTGTTTTTATATCCACTTATGTTCTTCTCTCACTGCAGCAAATGATGTCCATTCTTTACCCAGAATGCATTGCTGTAGATCTACAGTAAACAGTTTAAAATGTCCAGTGTTTTCTGGACCTTTAGCCAAAATTAGAGTTAGCAAAACTCAACAACTATGACACTGAAGCCATGAGTGAAAAATAAAAAAGCAAACTGTATGGTGTGCAATGACAGACTTCACCCTATTGAGGGCGACATACTGAGCTGTAACATGCTGTGACATTGACACATGTTGGGTACCATCATGGTTGAATTTAGCGCTTAAGCATTAGCTTTAGTTCAATGCTATGTCGGTGTAGCAAGTTAGCAGAACTAATATTCATGATCAGAGCTTTGCGGTCAGTGCAGCTCATGGTTTTAGTTAGCAGTGCCCACCACTGTCCAGAGCTAAACCCAGGTACCAGATCTGACTCTCCAGATCTGACTCCTCCAGATCTGACTCCAGATCTGACTCCTCCAGATCTGGAGTCCAGATCTGGACAAAGATAACTGTTATCTTTGTCCAGATAAACAGTTATCTGGACAAAGATAACTGTTTGTCCAGTTATCTTTCAGACAAAGATAACTGGACAAACTCCAGATCTGACTCCAGATCTGACTCCAGATCTGACTCCTCCAGATCTGACTCCTCCAGATCTGACTCCAGATCTGACTCCAGATAGAGGCGTTGTTAATTGATCGGGATCATGACCTCACATACTTCCTGTTGTGTCTCTTCATCCAGCTGGACCATCGGTGGGCGTGGCGCGGCGTTTTGTGCTGTCAGTTTTTAATCTATTGTCATGTTTATTGCAAGACTATTATATAAACACATGTCTTTGTGATCTAGCGGGTCTGGGTTTCCCCATAGAGTCCCTCTTTATGAGGGTGATTAGAGTTTGCTGGGGGCAGCAGCTTCCAGTCCTTCTGTTTGAAATAGACAGGCTGGAAGCTGAATGTTGTTCTCATTTGTCCCCACAAAGCAGCTGAATCACTTAAATGTTCAGAGTTTATAAAGCACAAAAACAACTGGAACAAGATTAAATATGTCACAAAGTGAATTAAGAAATCTTTATCAAACTGAGAATAAACATGCTTGTGTTGTTTTTATTTTACTGCACTTTAAGGCTCATACAGTGCTCTGAAAAGGTGTTTCCTTCAATGATTTCTGTAGTTTTTTTTTAGATTTACTTTCACTTAAATGTTTCAGAATTAAACAGATGATCTTTCTTTCAGACAAAGATAACTGGACAAACATAAATACAGTACAACTAAAATGATGATTTCACTCTGGTCTGCTATTTTGTAATTTGCAGGTAGCAGAGATTTGACTAGCTTGTTATGTAAAAACCTTTTACTGCCAAATTGATTAACAGATGTCAAGAACAGATGACTTAAACATCCAGCCTTTCATGCTGGAGTCAGGAAATGTTGCCACATAATGAAGGAACACATGTTGTAACCAAGGCACAGTTAGTTAACCAATGTTGGCATCAAGAATGTCACTGAATGCGTTTGCATCATGAGTTCCCAAAAGACAAAATCTGCAAAAACAAAGGAAATCCATCAGCTTGTTTAGCAGTTCAACAGCAAATACTTTATAAACAGAATATAATGGTAGCTATGCAGCACCAGATCCAACTTTTCTACACAACAAAATGTTTTTAAGAGATAAAAAAGTAGCTTTTGCTTTTCTCCCATTTAATATACTGTGCTATGATAAACATTCGGTTCATACTCAAAAACCCTTCAATATGGCTGAAATGACAATTTTTCAGAGTGATTCAAAATTCCTCCCAGACTCATTTCCACATAACCTTTAAATGTCTTCATTATTTCAACTTTCTGGTTTTTGCATGTGTTCAGGTCGTCTGTGTTGATTTTAACATTTGTTTGATATTCTGAAACACCAAACATGACAGAACTTGAAAGAGAAACTTTTTTATAGCACTGTTGATTCTCATGAAGGGTCCAACTGGGACGATTCTGATCCCAACTGTTAACAGAACCAGCTGGAACTGTGTTGTTTTTTTCACATGTAAAATGAAGGAAGGTCATTGCATGGAGCTTCTGCGTGTTTCTAGTCGTTACTTAAGACAATTCACAAAGTCGGCTAATGCAGCTATTCACACAACAGCTGCTGCAGGAGACGTGCTGTGATATGAAGCGTCGCATTGTCGTCTGCACGGTGCTGTTCCTTTACTGTGACGGCGGTAAGGAAATGTTAAAGAGTCCACATTGATTTCCTGCCTCCCTCACACATCCACATGCCCATTCCTGGTGTAAATATTTAAAGTGTTGATGAGGAAACAAGATTGTTAATGTCTGTAAGAAGGTGTGAAAAGAAAAAGTGTTTCACTCTGTGGCTCTGCTCAGGGATCTCAAGCAGTGGGCTATTGCAGAAACTTGTTCACAGAGAATTTACTAAATTAAAATTTATTTTTGAAATGTGTTGCATTTGTATAAATTATCAGGATTTGTAGCCCTGTTCTCCTTTTTTGTAAAATAAAAACTGAACAATGTGCAAGAAGTTTTTTGGTCTTGTTTTTTCCAGTACATGTGATGGTTCTCCCAGTACATGTGATGGTTCTCCCAGTACATGTGATGGTTCTCCCAGTACATGTGATGGTTCTCCCAGTACATGTGATGGTTCTCCAGTACATGTGATGGTTCTCCCAGTACATGTTATGGTTCTCCCAGTACATGTGATGGTTCTCCCAGTACATGTGATGGTTCTCCCAGTACATGTTATGGTTCTCCCAGTACATGTGATGGTTCTCCCAGTACATGTGATGGTTCTCCCAGTACATGTGATGGTTCTCCCAGTACATGTGATGGTTCTCCCAGTACATGTGATGGTTCTCCCAGTACATGTGATGGTTCTACTCTCTGGTTTGGATAATAAAACCAAACTAATAAGTTCTAATAAGTCCAGTTCACTGTATGTGTGTGTTGGGGTCCCTTGATAAGATCGTTTTTATCAAAATAAAATCTTTCTGCCAGGTTTTTACTGCACAGCTTCATTGAGGTGTTTTTCTTGATTCCTGTGGATATTAGAGTAAATGTGCTGCTCTGCAGTGGAGCAGCTTTACAGGCCATTATAAAGCCCTCCCCTCACAAATTTGCTAAAATGTGTCATAAAATCGTCTTCGCTGCATCTCTGTCGCGCTTTGATCTTTCAACAACAAAGCCGACATGTAAATGATCCCATATGGAAAAGGGGCAGCAGTGTGAACACATGGCGGCAGAGCGCCGCTTCCAGCCGCCCCCCGCTGACCCGCACCGGGCCGTCCTGTGAACAAAACAGTCTCACATGTCTGCTGCCCTGATCCAGCTCTCCACTGGACCCGGCGGTCCTCACTGGACCCGGCGGTCCTCACTGGACCCGGACGCCACCGGCGTCTTCTTATCACAACCCTGGTGAGAAACGGAGTCTGTGGAGAAACAAGAACACATTTCATCTTCCATGTTGTACAAAGCAATTGAAAGATTTATTTATTGTCTTGCAGAGCCAGGTGCAAATCTATAAATAATGTGACTAAAAAGTAACATTCTAGAGCACTGGTGTCCAAACGTTTTGTCACATGGCCCGAAATCATCAAGGATAAAGTATTTGTTCATGGGCCAAAACATGTCCAACACCACAAAAAACTGTATTTTTTATTTTGGACATAAATTAGGCTTAAACATGTTCAGTACTATAAAACCTGACTGGCAATCAGAATCCAAAAAACTTTTTTAAGAAGAAAAAGGAGCTGTTGAAGTTTCTCTAAGATTTCACATGTGAAGCTGTAACTACAATGGAAGGGATTCGGACACACAACCTTACTTCTGGATCTGCTGTTGATCAGCAGATTAAAATTTCTCTTTGTTGTGTTGTCTGGTTTTATTATGATCATGACCAGTTCCATGTTTCAGGTTATTTTTATTTGTGCAGTAAAGTAAACCAACATGTGTTGAAAGCTGTTTCACATGTTCCACCATGAGCCCAACAGATCCATCCTGACAGAACATTCTTCCTTAGGAAAACGAACGAAGCAGAAACCAGCTGCTCATATTTATTTATTTAGATATTAATGTCAGGAAACTTTATTGAAGAATTTATGTTCCTGAGATTTCATGTCCTGGTTTTCCTTCAGTTCTTCCAAACCCTAAACGCTTGAGGTTAATAATCATCGGCCAATCAAAGATCCTCATTCACTGCAACAATTCAAATGAAATACAACAAAACGATCTGCAGACCTGGTTGAATGTTTGGTTCTGCTGTCTGACGTTTTACTCAGACCTGAGAAACAATGATTCAGTAATAGATGGTGGAAGACTGACTTTGTAACCGTCTTTGTGTCTCTGAAGGTTCAGGTCAGAGTTCATCAGTTTCCAGCTGTAACAACTGAAGCTGTGCTCCTTAGATCCAAAGATAATAACTTCACTTCTGGAAACATAATTCAGTGATTTAGTGTCATTGAGGAAAATTTTATAAAATTAATGTAAATATTCTTCTGAACATCAGAATAGGAAAATATTCATTTTAACAGCTTCAACATGTTTACTAAACGTAAGATTCATGTGCCTGTTTCTCCAGCTGGAAAAATCTGCCTTAAAGGGGAACACTTGAAGGAAAGAACAATTCTCGGAGATTCTGTATTTTCTTTAATATACTGTCTTCATTTATTTTCCTTCATGGCTTTAGATAAAACTTCTCTTATCTGAGTCAGACGCCCAGGAAATAAACAGTCTGTCTTCCAGTTTTATAACTTTTTGCTTTTTGACCTTTTGTCTCCAAACACTTGAAACTGGGCAAAAGGATTTTATTTTATTATACTGTAATCTGGAGAATCAGCCAGGCTAATATTTTGCAGTATGAGTTGATAAAGCGTCTTTACTTTGATCTGGTGGAGCTGAGCGCTTGGCTCAGCTCAGGCCGGCTGTGCGTGATACTGAGAAGTCCTTCCCTCTGGACTCGGTACTGGCTGTTATTGTTTGATAGAAAAGGCATTAAGATGAAGCTTCGGCATGAGACACAGACTCACCTCGGGTTATTGATGCAGTTCATGTCCAAGAAAGGAAATTTATTTTTCCAAAATACTGAAGAAAAAATCAGAAAAACAGGATTAAAAACTGAAACATTTTGATGAAAAACTGTTTGAGTTTCACACAACAAATCCGTGTACAAATTTAGTCTTTTGTGAAGTCAAAGCAAAGGAAGTGGAAAAGCAGAGCTGCCAACAGCTGATGATGTCATCAGGACATTTAACTGTGAAACTGTCTCTGTGGCTGAACGATGACTGTTTCCACGACTCCTTTGATACCTGGATGATGTGAGTTATGACAACATTTTGCCTCTTACATGGTAACAAAAATGTACGTAGCAGCGCCACAAAAAATGATGCGGTTGGTATGCCGGGCCACTGGGTGGCGCTGTAACTCAGCCAGAGCTCTGCACAAAAAGCACAGAATGGCACCATATTTGACATTTGTGACCGTGAGGAGCATGTGGGATAGAGAGAGATGGACGGAGCGACAACGTCATTGTTCAAAATAAAAAATTGGAATTTAGCCTCTTTGGAACCCAGTTTCAAAAATAATCATTTCTGGTCTCCCAAAACGCCAAATTCATGTGGATGCACAGCCAACATGAGAAAGACATTTTCTGGATCCATCTCAAATCTTCTCCATGTGGACGCAGCCTTGGATTTAAAACGTTTTTTTTAATTTTTATTTTATTGAATTGCACCCTGAAAGGAATAGATACAAGTTAATCTTCCAGTAGGTGAACAATCCAAAGCATACAGCTGGAACCACAAAGGAACCGTTTAGATAAAAGCATATTCATATTCTAACACATGGCCTAGTCAAAGTCCAGACCTAAATCCAACTGAGGATGCACAGACATGAAAGCTGCAGAAAACTCTCAGCTGCAGTGAAAGTTGAAACACATGAAATAAATGAGTTGTATTATTATGTTCCTTCCACCAGAGAACTGTTCACCACTTCATGTGGCTCTTTCATATCAAATCAGTTTTTTATGTTTTGCTGCCAAGATAAAAGTTTGATGCATTACAAGAAATTAATATTCAATAACTCCCAGATTAAATCTCAGCGGTGCAGAAAGCAAAATTTATCAAAACTCATTTCTCACAGAGACACTTGAGGAATGTGTCACTATGAGAAATTTGCTTTAATAAATAAGAATATAAACTCATAACAGCAGGACTAAACGACTCTGGGATGTTATTGCTGAAATTAGCATAAATGTTGGGAATATTCTGGCAAACAGCAGAAAATGAACACATGAAGTTTTTTTCCTCCAGGCCATCAGCAGATAAACCGACACAGAGACACGTTTCACATCTCATCCCAAACATCCTGTGATCCGATTTAAAGTTCTAATGCCAAACTTTAGAAAAACTACCAGAATCCATTAAATGTTTGACTAATTGCTGGCGACCTGCTGCAGGACTTTTATTCCCCTCCTTGACTTTACTGGCTCGTTTAACCGGCAGCTCCTGCAGTAAACAAGCTGCTGTTTGATCGTCCTGCCCGGCTGCCTGTGCTTCCACAGGTGGCCCACGTCAGCAGAAAGCAGCAGTAAACGAAACAAGCCAGATCTCCGTCTCCTGAAAACGAAGAATTTACAGATCTCTGTTTACAGCCAGAGCCTGCAGGGCCTTCTGGACACACAACACATTTCAGGAAATGGCACCGTGTTTCTGTCCTCATGGACAGCGTCCGCTTTGTCTTCCCTCTTCCTGTGAAGCAGTGAACTTGCTAACTGGAACGCTGCAGTGTTTGTGTAGGGAGACGTGACAGTGCGTCCATGGAGCAGGTGCCTCCCGTCCGTATCAGGAACGCAGAATTGATTCGTTCCAGAGGCAAGATGTGGAAAACATGGAGCAAAGTCAAAGGAACAGACTCTTCCCATAACTAACAGCTGGATTCCCAGTCAGAGAAACGGACCGACTGCATGCTGAGAGGAAAATATCTGGAAAATATTTGAAGTTCATCCTTGTGAGAACCAGCAGGGTTTCTCAGTTCCTTGAAGGTTTTAACCTTGAAGGTTTTAACCTTGAGTCTCCAGGAGTACTTGAAACACGACAGTAAACATGAACCACTCAGCTTGCCGTAGAGCAGATTACCTCCAACAAACAGGAAGGCCTTCCTGGCCAGTCTGGATTACAGCAGATTATTACGGAAAAGGAAATCAAGGAAGCAGCTTTCAGCTTCTATGCACCACAAATCTGGAACAAACTTCTGGAAACAGCTGAAACGCTGAGTTCCTGTAAGTCTGGACTAAAAATGCTTCGAGCTGCTTTTCAGACATTCAAAATGAAACTTTAATCAACATTTTGATATGTAATGACGACGCTGCACACTTGTTGTGTCTTCCATGCCTGAGCAATAGGATCTCAAAGGAAAATTCACAGCATAAACTTCATAAAGTCTCATGTAGAACATGGTGTAATAACTCTGAGGATTCACACACAACTTAGCAATAACTGGTTTTAATCAAAATTATTAT